CACGCCAGGCTTTCCTGTCCATCACCAACTCCTGGAGCTTGCTCAAACTCATGTCCATCAAGTTGGTGATGCCATCCAACCATCTCATCTTCTGTTGTCTCCTTCTCCTGCCTTCAATCTGAGTTATCATCTCTTAATTTGTTGAAATGTAAATGCATGAATATACTTTAGTTTCATCATGACTTCAAGTATTGAGCAGATTCTAGCATGGTATAAGGCTAGCATGGTATATAACATGATATAAAAATGATAAGATTTATTAAAATGCTAAGTTAATAAGATTGCTCAGTCGTGTCCAACTCTTTGCAACCCCATGGACTGTAGCCTACCAGGCTCCTCTGTCTACGAAATTCTCCAGGCGAGAATACTGGAGTGGATAGTCATTCCCTTCTCCAGGGGATCTTCCCAACTCAGGGATCGAACCCAGGTTTCCTGCATTGCAGGCAGATTCTTTACCATCTTAGCCACCAGGAAGCCCCAAGTTAATAAGAAGGTTAGTTTTGCAAATTATAAGCATATTATGCCTAATTTACCTATTCAATTATATTTTCATAATGGTAATTGCATACTTATTTCATATCTCAGCAGTTTTAATAAGGGTTCCTTCCAACAGAGTCAAAGGAATGGCTATTTTTAGAAATTGATCATTCTAAAGAGGGTTTTAAGATACTCAGCTTTTTAACATACTGGAATGTAAAATGAAGAGGTGGAAGATGCTTGAATCTATCCACTCTAATTAACTTAGCATTCTAATGGTTAGAGGTTTTAACAGTATCCTTCAGTTGATGTATCCTAATCCAAATATACACTACTGTTTCCTCAGTGTGAAGAAGCCATAGGCATTGCTGAATCTTTAACCCTAAGTATAGGACTCACAAACAATTAGCTTTCACTTGTCAAAGTCATTACTGAATGAATGACTGTGAAACTATTTCCTGGAATCGTGATGAAAACTGTATCTGCCTCTATGACCAAATCATAAGCTTCTACCCATTTAATGACAATGAAAGTCTCTTTCCAGGTTCCTCTGGGTTTAGTAAGACATTTTTACATTCTATAATGTACAACTGAAACAACTGAGCACGTGTTTAACAACCATGGCTAGGCTCAATGAATCCTGGGAATTAGAGTAATTTACCATGATGCATCCAAGAGACTAGAGCTACCTGACAAGTTAAATCAAGATGCAATTTAATGATCAACAGGCAGTAAGTGCACAGCATCTCATCAATTCCATTCAATGATCCTGAGAAGAAAGTTATGTTTTTTCTCCATAGGCAGATCAAGCTGACACTGAAACCCCATATCTTTCCCCATTCTGTGTCATAGGGGAGAGAATCCTTCATCACACTCTTGAGATCAGGAACCACCCCATAAATGAGGGCAACTAAATGTGATTTCATGGTGAAAGTAACAGTAATGCTACTATTATTGTGTTATGGCTGGCTTCCTGGCTAAAGACAGCATTAATGACTTGCTGATGGCATCAGTCAACAGGGCCACATGTCCCCTTCCAAATCCAGATATCTCACTTACTTTGGCAGAGGAAAAGTCACATTTGTCTGGAGAGCTCTGGAGGTCAGAGGTGAGAGCATCACAAACCTGGCCTCACATGGACAATTAGATTACCCACTGATGTGGAATGGCCCATATGTGAAGTTGCCCCCAAATGTCCCAAGATGTCTCCATGGTCAGCGTTGGGTCTGCCGCCAGGGTAGGCAGCTGTGTGGCCTTGGGAACCACTAACCTGGCACTTCCTCAATTGTGGAATGACAGATTAGATGAAATCACTTGAGCTCTATGATTTGCTCTTTGGCAAGGCACCGTGAATCTAGCAGATGAGTTACTAAGGACTCACAAATAATGAACTTATAAGATTCACAGATAATTTTGGATATGGAAGTTGTTTTTGAAATGCTATGCCACTGAAAGTGTTGGCATTTTGCATTAAATCACTTCACAGTTATATATGTGTTCTACTGTGGGAAGAACAAACTGTCAAACTGAGATTCTCAAGAGGATGCACTGTGTTTACTTTTGTCTCAGTCGAAATGTCATGTTAACACCAGATTCTGTTCATTCATGGAGTTGCAGGACACTTGATACTGCTGACTCTTCCTTCCTCAAACACCCCCTCTCTCATCTTCTATGATGTGGTTGCCAAGTTCTTGTCCTACCTCTCCATCGAATCTCCACCTTCTTTTTGAGTTCCTCCTCTGCCTCCCTCTCTTTTCTGATAGGGACCTTCTGGCGCTTTATTTCTACATACAGTCCATGAGTGAATCCTTCCACTCTCAGGGACAACTACCCCAGATCTACACCTCAGCCTTGATCTAGGTCTGAGCTCCAGATTCTTTCATCTCTTCCCATGGACAAAGGTTTCCACCTCTCCTCTGCCATGCTCCTACTCCAACTATTCCTTGACTTGAGAAATAAATGCCACTGACACCACTACAGAAAGGTACAGCTGTGAAGAGCTGATTCAAAACCAGATTTGAGTTCATCCACTTCATTAGGATGGACCCAAATGTGTTCTTTTTTATAGCTGAGTAATATTCCATTGTATATATGTACCACAATTTCTGTATCCATTCATCTGCTGATGGCTATCTAGGTTGCTTCCATGTCCGAGCTATTTTAAGTAGTGTTGTAGTGAACACTGGGGTACATGCGTCTCTTTCAATTATGGCTTTCTCAGTGTATATATTCAGCAGTGGGATTGTTGGGTCATATAGTAGCTCCAGGGCTTCTCAGAATGGTGCTAGTGGTAAAGAACCTGTCTGCCAATGCAGGAGGTGTAAGAGATGCGGGTTTGATCCCTGGGTCAGGAAGATTTCCTGGAGGAGGGCATGGCAACCCACTCAGTATTCATGCCTGGAGAACAGACAGAGGACACTGGTGGGCTACGGTTCATAGGGTTGCAAAGAGTTGGACACAACTGAAGTGACTTAGAATGCACATACGCATGGTAGTTCTATTCCTAGTTTTTTAAGAAGTCTCCATACTGTTCTCCATAGTGACTATATCAATTTATAAACAGGGAGCTCAATCCACTGTTCTGTGACAACCTAGAGGGGTGGGATAGGGTGGGAGTTGGGAGGGGGGTTCAGGAGGGATGGGACAAATATATAGCTGTGGCTGATTTGTCTTCATGTATGGCAGAGACCAACACAATATTGTAAAGTAATTGTCTTCCAATAATTGCATTTTGTTCTATACTTCTCAATACTGTACAATTACAATCTTTGATAATTATTAGTTACTCAAGAGGGCTTCCCTCATAGTGCAGTCAGTAAAGAATCTGCCTGCAAAGCAGGAGACCCGGCTTTGATTCCTGGGTCAGGAAGATCCTCTGGAGAAGTAAATGGCAACCCACTCCAGTACTCTTGCCTAGAAAATCCCATGGGCAGAGGAGCCTAGAAGGCCCTAGTCCATGGGGTTGCAAGGGTCGAACATGACTTAGCAACTAAACCAGTTACTTAAGAACAATTAAAAAAAAAAAAAAAACAGATCTGGGGCCAACAACCTAATTGTCTAAGGTGTTAAACAAGTAACCATTATAATTAAAGTAGAGATGGGCAGAAAGAATGCGGCTAAACTGAAGGGTGCAAGCTAGTCTAAATGGAAAAGTTAATCCTTTACTGCAGCCCACTAGAGCCCTGTGGAAACACTCAAAACGAAAAAAGATCATGGCATCCAGTCCCACCACTTCTGGTCAAATAGATGGGGAAACAATGGAAACAGTGACAGACTTTATTTTCTTGGGCTCCAAAATCACTGCAGATGGTAACTGCAGCCATGAAATTAAAAGACACTTGCTCCTTGGAAGAAAAGCTATGTCTAACCTAGACAGCACATTAAAAAGCAGAGACATTACTTTGCCAATAAAGGTCCATATAGTCAAAGCTATGGTTCCTCCCATAGGCATGTATGGATGTGAGAGTTGGACCATAAAGAAAGCTGAGTGCTGAAGAATTGATGCTTTGAACTGTGGTGTTGGAGAAGACTCTTGAGGGTCCCTTGGACAGCAAGGAAATCCAATCAGTCAATCCTAAAGGAAATAAACCCTGAATATTCTTTGGAAGGACTGATGCTGAAGCTGAAGCTCCAATACTTTGGCCACCTCATGTGAAGAGCTGACTCATTGGAAAAGACCTTGATTCTGGGAAAAATTGAAGGCAGAAGGAGAAGGGGATGACAGAGGATGAGATGGTTGGATGGCATCATTGCCTAGATGGACATGAGTTTGAGCAAGCTCCGGGAGTTGGTGATGGACTGGGAAGCCTGGAGTGCTACAGTCCATGGGGTCACAAAGAGTCAGACATGACTGAGTGACTGAACTAAACTGAATGTTGAAAACTAAACTGAAATTACTACACATATATGTGCATACCTTGGTTCCATATATTGTATTGCTCTGGACTTATAAACAAATGGATTTAAAAACAGGGCTTCCCTAGTGGCTCAGATGGTAAAGAATCTGCCTGCAATGCAAGAGAGCTGGATACGATCCCTGCATCAGGAAGATCCCCTGGAGAAGGAAATCATTCTCCACTCTAGTATTCTTGCCTGGAGAATTCCATGTACAGAGGAGCCTGGCAGGCTACAGTCCAAAGGGGTCACAAAGAGTCTGACATGACTGAGTGAATGACACTTTCACTTTAAAATCGAGCTTTTCATATTCACTCACTCATAAGTAGAAGAGCAAATGTATAGTTGCAATGGTGATGACATTTGTGTTCAGCTACATCTTGCCCTGCTATCTCCCAATTCTCTGCCACTGAATAGAAGTGGGAAGTGATGCCTACGTGTGTGGTCTTCTGTGTGTTAGAATGTGGCCTATAACACATTCGGTTGTGAATTGTGCACTTTAATGAAATGATCCCGTTTACTGAAACAGTAAAGCAACCTTTAAAGTGAATTACGCATTACATACTTGTTGAACACCTGAACTACCGTGCTCCGACCTTTATTTCCACACTAAGTGCTGTTCCACTCACCGATGAGGTACATGCCGATCCAGTCCCCAGCGTCCACTTCCTCCTTGATGTCCCAGTGGATCACCAGGTCCTGGGAGTGCCCTATGGAGTAGTAGGAACTGCTGACCATGAGTGTGGAGCGGCTGTCCGAGGTGACCAGGTCAGTGTCGCTGGTGGAGCGGGGGATGGTGACGGCACCATGGGGGCCAGTCCTGACGGCCACACTGTGGTACTGGCCTGGGTTGTAGCTGTGGCGGAGCGGCTCCTTGCACCGGCGTCGATTCTGGGAGTTTCTAGATGGAGATGCCATGGCGGCCAGGCCTAAGAACCTGTTCTGGTACAGATTCTGTGGGGGCAAACAGACAGTCAGTAGGGGCGGGAGATGCTGGCTCCACAGTCAGTCATCGTCTTCACAGGGAAGGGAGGATGGGTTGGGGGCAGCCAGCAGGGAGAGAGAAGCCCTTTTAGGAAGATTTGAAACAGACACAGAGCATTTTCCTCCAGGCCAAAGTGGTAGCTCTGAGTTCAGGTGGGGAAGGCAAGAATGAAATACACACTCACCAAGGGGCCATGCCTTTCCTTGCTCTGCTGGGGTCTCTGCCTCCCTCAGCTCCCTCCAGCCTGCTTGGTATCAGAAGGCCAGGAATGTCTACAGAATGACCTGGCGGTGTGACTGCCCCCAGAATGCCATCTCCTGAGTTCTCTGGCATAAATTCAATTGGACCCAATTTTACCCTTCTTTATGGTAAATGATGGTTATTATCGTGGCACATTTTAGTGATGTCTGCAGCATTCGAGACCCTACACACAGCCCAGAATCACTGGCAGTCTCTGCTGGAGGAGGCAGTTACTGTCTTTCATTTTCAACTCTCATTCTACAGCAGGTCACTGTACCACCTGAAATGCCTATTAAGGATCTCAGATACCCTAGTAATCTTCAAAGACTGCAGTTTTCACTAAAACCCAACCTCAGAAGACCGTGTCTCCCTTAGAGCTAATACCGTAGAAAATATTGTATCTGCTGAGAAAAAAAAATGCATTTTTTTTTTTTATTGTTTACAACTTGGAGCACTTCAAACTAGCTGAGCTGATACAGACCAATAACATGACTGTTTTGCTACAGATGGCTTTGGAAACAGGGGGAAAGGGCATTCTGTAGAACTGGAATGAGGGATTCTTTTTTGAAACAAGCAGCAGTGATTTTTATTTCATCAAAGTGTACTACAATTGGGATTTAAATGTACATTTTGGGGGTTCCTGCCTATAAAAGAACCTGCTGTTATACAACTAATAGCACTTTTGTTTTTAAGAAGAGAAGATTAAGGTCTTAAAATATGTTACATCATGCAGTTTAGATCCCAGGACTGTAACTTATTATACACATCCATCAAATGCGAGTTATTGAGTTTCTGTTAACCAGCCAGGAGAACCAGACTCGGCACCAGTCTACTCTTGAGATGATTTAAGTCTATTTAGCAGTAATTTGGGTCCATACTTTTTCCATCTTGGAAGATCAGGGCACTTGTAAAAAGTCTATTAACCTGATTAAGCACAGTGTTGGTATTTGGAATATTGGGCCTTAATGGCCATATGTCAGGCCTATTTATTCATCATCTGAGTCTCTTGTTGGGACTTTTTCTAGCCCCACTGGTGGTAACCATGGAATTACTATTGGCAGAGAAGCCAGGCTTCAGAAAGCATCTTATCACACTATTGGTACCATATGTCTTTTTTTTTTTCTTTCTAATGCTTTCCACTGCAACAGTATGAAAATAGATGGACCACAGTGTTGCCTGGAAACCAGTCCACTTCTCAGGAACACAGGCACAGCCTTGAGCTCAGGAACGGCTCGTGAACAGCCCACCTCGCAGGCACCCTGGCTCTTCCAGACAGTTCCAAGAGGACCACAGGAACCTGATCATTGTTCAGGGAACTTCGCTCAGAGACCTTTGTAAAGCCTCCAAAATAAGGAAGGCTGCTGCTGGTGTGTAACCTTTCTTCCATTCACATGCACTTTATGTGCACCAATAGAATCTTACCGTGTTATCATGGAGATTTAAACAAACTGAGAGGGTAGCACCGACATATTCACTGCCATGTGTGAAGTAGAGTGAGAAGCGGCCGTGTGACACAGGGAGCTCAGTATGAGGCTCTGTGATGACAGAGAGGGTGGGATGGGGGGCTGGGAGGGAGGTCCAAGAAGAAGGGGACATATGTATACATACAGCTGATTCATTCTGTTGTTCAGCAGAAACTAACACAACATTGTAAAGTAATTACAGTCTAATAAAAAAAAACCAAAACACAAAATGACTACTTGGAATTAAATGACATAATCAAGTGTATAATTACGAGTGAGACCAAACGACGGGCAATTCTGGAGCATCACCTTCCAGTTTCCAAGCTGTGTATCCCTGGACTACTTACTTGATCTCTCTAAGTCCTCTGCTTACTCGTCTATAAATGGGTTGCTGTCAAAATGTAATGAGATAAATGCAAACCAAGCTCTTACTATAGTAAGTGCTCACTAAATAAAAATCTACTACTGAAACACTACTAGTATTGTTTTAGTAAGAAAGCACCACTGAAACGGAGGTCCCGGGCAGTGAGTGAGCCTCTTGTACTGGTCAAGGGTCCCCACATGTGTTCTCAGAGCCTCACACTTAAAAGTCATTCAACAGCAGACCTTCAGCTCATTCCTAATTATGACCTTCCAGGTTTCCTCTTACGAAACTGACACTGCAAACAGTGAACAGGCCAGCATGTTCGGAAAGGTGTCCTAGCTACCAGCCTTTGGATAAGTCTTCCTTTTGCTTCGTGGGTAAAACAAACAAACAAACAAAACAAAAAAACTTCTGTTCATTTGTCAGGTTACTGCTTGAATGGAATATTTTTTTGCATTCATGTTGAGGCTGAGAGATTTTTATCTATGTCGTGTCAGGGCTCAAGGTAGATTATAGAGTGCTTTGCTTTCATTGAAGACTTCTGCTGTGGTATTTTTTATTAGAATTCCTGGGAAACCAGGCAAGTCTCCTGACACTGTCAAATTACACCAGTTTACACCATCCACATGGTGGGAACAAAAGCATAGAAAGAAACGTTAGTCAAGGAAGATGTTTCTCATTAATTTATTAGATTGGAATTAATGGCATTTTCCTGGAATTAGAAGGACAGCTTCAATGCTGCTCTTTGAAGACTACACTCCCTCACCTCACCCCAGCTTTGTCCACATCCTCCTCACTCATGCTTGTAGGAAGGATTTATAGTCTGCTTTGAGGTTATGCTCCAGCACCAGCTCTGCTTTAACCTCTCCTTATATCCTTCCCCATTTCCAAGAGAGAGGGGCTTTCTATTCTGTGATCCCATAGGAATCTCATTTTCCCTGAAAGGATTTTCACTGTATTATCACTAGTTGACCTGTGTTGTGCCCTAAGCTATGAAGTTCCTGAGGCCAGTGTTTACCGCTCTTAGTATCTCCTGGAACTTCTGTGACATCTGGCGCGCACACACACACAAAAGGGCTAAAAACTTTAGTAGTATTTATTTTACTCAATGAAGTCCCTTCTTGTTCCACAAAGAGCTTAAAATGACTAATATATAAAATACAGAAAGATGTGATGTTAGTAGTAGATGGTGCAGGGAATGAAAAAAATAGAGACAGTTACATAGGAAGAAGGCTAATATCAGACTCTACACCATCATTTCCTAAACAGGTGTTTTTGTTAAAGACTCACATAGCTGCTTCTAGAATAGAGAAGGTAGATGGCTGATTTCCAACATGTCATTTCTCTGTGGCCATGTTCCCCCAAGACTTTCACACGTGTTCTAGTTTAAACTATAGATGCATCCGGCTAGAAGACGCAGTTTAATCACTCTCTGCTCACATCTGAATTGTGGGAGAGAGATGAGCATCTGTCCTGTTTTTAAATAGCCCTGGATAAAAGACCACTCTTTCCCTAACAGCAATTCCAATATTTATAACCTCACAATTCTTTCTCATCTCTAAGGCAAATCTTTCCCTTCTTTCTCCTAGTTCCTTCACTCAAAAGATGCAGAGAAGTTAACCATATTACTAACTGTATCCCAGTTTTTTTTCCCATTCCATCAAGTAATTCAAATGTCACTTATCTTCTCTTACATTGTTGATAGGCAATAGACACTGATAAGAAAACCATAGAATATTAGTAACAATTTCAGTTACACTGCAATTTTCTAATTATTGGTTCAGTAACATTGTAATTTTCTAATTATAGCCCTAGTTATGGGCTATGCTAAGCATATATTTTAATTGACCCTTGAAAATCAGGCCCAATGAGTGAGCACTAAAAACAATCTGATCACATCATGTCCTGCTTCATAGGGAGTGTGATTCCATCTGTTGGCTTATTTCCCATTTGTCACAGATCTAACAATGGTGTTTACTTGTTTTGCTTTCTGACTTAAATAATTCATCATTGTTGAAATGTTTTGAATTAAGTTATATTCTTCAGTTATTTTTTTAAATCTTGGGATAGGCCGTGTGTGTTTAATCTGTTTAGTGTGCATTGTAGAACAATAGCAAAAACAAAACCTTCCAGGAGGAGATAGAATCTTAAAAGCAAAAAACATCACTTCTAGGGAAGGAACAAGTTACTATGTACATCTTTTTTTGGTTTTTTAAAGAACATAGGGAGACAAAAGGTTTGGCTGAGTCAATTTCTAACTGACAGAGTCATTAATAGCTTTGCTGTTTTGGAATATAAAGCTGTGAGTGAGTGCTATCTCAAAAATGAAAAGAAAGTGGACAAAAGACATCTAGAATAGAGAAAGTGATTCTTAATAAATGCCTCTACACTCAGAAATAAAAAACTGTGACTGGAAAACACAGGCCCTGAAGGAAACTTCATTAGAGTATACAAGTTGAGGTTATAGAAACTGGCATTATTTAGCAGGAAGAAAGAACATGAGAGTTTTTTGAGTTCATGAACAGATTTGATTTTGAGCAAGTAGATGCCTGAAGCTTTTTTATCCTATCCTCAGCCCTTGTTATGCCATCAGGCGGGTAATGGAACTCAAAAAAATTATATAACATTTCTTTCTGCAGTGGATTTGAGAAAATTTACAGCAAAAGAAATGTAGATGGAAATAGGGAAATATAAGCCAGATAGAAACAGGGGAGTAGCAATAAGAAAGGATAATAATATTAGGAGCATTTACTCTATGGTTGGAACTTGGTACGTTATCTCATTAAAACCCTAGCAAGTATCACTCTTTCCATGTTGGTGAGAAACCCAGCTCAGATATTTAATAATTAACAAACAATGCCAAAGTCACACCTCGTGCAGCAGGAAGTAGAGATTTGAGCCATTCTAAGAGGAGAGTGAAAAAGTTGGCTTAAAGCTGAACATTCGAGGGTCTTCGAGCTGGTCCTTAGCCTGGGCGGTGCCGCCCGCTCCTCTCCGTTCCGCCCCCGCTTGTCGCTGGCGGGTGCGGGCGTCTGGGGTGCTTTTCTGCTGGGAGTTGCTTTTAGGCAATGAAAACTACAAACAAATAGCAATGTGTGTTCTTTACCATATAAGCATGGATGATCGCTTTAAATCAATGTTTGCATATACTGACTGCATACCACAGTTAATGAAGANCGGTAAAGTCATCCCTCTCCCTGTGTGCTTCCAGTTGAGAAGGCATCTGTGTGGGTTGGGTTAACTTTGAATCTTGGCCTAATAATGCATGTTGATACTATTTGCAGGTCTGTGTCTCTTTTTAATATTCCCTGTTGTTAGCTGCAGGTTAACTTCAACCCCTTCTGTCCTATGTTAAGTACAGTTTATGCTTGACCCTGTTCACTCATCAAACCACATCTCAATGCTGAGTAACATTTACCATGAGACTCAAAAGTGAATGCTGAAAAGCACCTAGACTGGAAAACAAACACTGCATTATGTACATTAATTGACTAATTTTAATTTCTATTAAAAAGAAGCATAAAGTACAAATGAATTGGCAAAAAAAAAAAAAAAAAAAAAAAAGCTCAACATTCCACCCTCGCCTTCTCCCATAGAGTCAATCTGAGAGAATAGCATTGAAACATGTATATTATCAAGTGTGAAACAGATCGCCAGTCCAGGTTGGACGCATGAGACAAGTGCTCAGGGCTGGTGCACTGGGATGACCCAGAG